ACATATTTCAAGAGTTTTCCAAAACACTACAACAAATTATTTTTTTGTTAAGTACATCCCGAGTTATGAAGCTTCAAAGTTACAGTACCGTCGGCATTAGCATTACCCAAGGTGTACCGCGTGGAGGTTGCACGATCGGATTTACACCTCTTGTGTGTGTGTGTCGCGCGCGCGCGCGCGTGTGTGTGTGTGTGCGTGTGTGCGTACGTGATCTACACACACACACACATTTTCTTTTAATTTATTTTAACGTATAATTATAATTAATAGTATAATCTAAGAAGCAAATTTACAAGCGGGATAATGAAAATAATTTAATAATTTAAAGTTCTTCCGGCGGTGCAAGAAAGAAGTTACATCGGTCTTGAGCGACAACTATGAACGATGTCTTCAATTTCTGCGAGCGCAATTCTGCGGTTGAAAAGTGTTTATTTTAAGGCGACTTTAAGAAGAGTAATCATACTGTAATTAGTCAATTTCTTACTGCTTACGTTTTACTACATACCCGTACTGCCATAGAATGGATCTCCGATTTCCACGTTTTTTTTTTAGTCTGCGTCCTATTGTTGTTCTAGATATAATATCGCGAATTGATGGAAAGCTGTTTTCTCTAATAGAATGAATTATGTTATTATCTACTTCCTCCGTCATTTTCTTCCTCCCGTATTGAATGTCAGGATGTGCCCTTTCGCCTCATATTGTCGCAATATGTTGTAGACTGTGCGTCTCTACAATAGAATGTACTAATAAAAAAAATAAAAAAAATAAAAAAATTTTTTTAAATTAAAAATTAAAAAATTAAAAGTTTAAATTAAAAGTTAAATTATACAGCGTACGAGGTGTATAATTTTAACTTTTAATTTAAACTTTTAATGACATACCAATCGTCAACTTTGTTCAAGACAACTCTGGAGTGCATACAGCGAGGGTTGTCCGCGATTGGCTGGTTGCACAACCCAACATCAGGACGTTGGAGTGGCCAGCAAAATCGCCCGACCTGAATGTCATTGAAAATCTTTGGGGCATGATAGTCCAAGAATGGGATCCACTAACCACACGTTCACGTGAAATTCTCGAACATGTTTTGACTCAATGGGAACGTTTTCGTACCAGGCCGGAATTATTTCAAAATTTAATAAGATCCATGCCCCAAAGATTGAATAGTGTGATTGACAACAACGGAGGTGTCACTCGTTATTAAGTGCACCTCCGAGAATGTATTATGATGTATAAATGTTATATGCGATATGGACAATCCTCGGTGAATGAATGATGAGATTGAATGAACAGAATGAGTCTGCAATGAGTGTAGTGTGAAAGGAAGATGAATAAGGCAAAATCCATCGATCAAATTATAAATTTTCAAAATTTTTGTAAAAATGTACACGAACCTCCCGTCATTTTACTTCTCGTTCTTCTACCTCTCGTCAAACTCTTATAAAACTTCTCCAGAAAATGGTGCGTATTTATTGAATCTATTTATCTATCTATCTATCCATCTATCCATTCATCTATCTATCTATCTATCTATCTATCTAACTATCTATCTATCTATCTAACAAATCACAAAAATAAATCACAGTTGGAGAAATCTAAGTCCAGTAAAATGGATATAATGTTGAAGAGCGCAACGTTATCAAAACGAAAGACGAGCAAAACCGAGATTACGTTATCCGGAGCCAAACGGTAGCGTTAAAATCGGAGATCCATTCTACGGCAGTACGAGTATGCAGTAAAACGTAAGCAGTAAGAAATTGACTAATCACGATATGAATACTCTTCTTAAAGTCGTCTTAAAATAAACACTTTTCAATCGCAGAATTGCGCTCGCAGAAATTGAAGACATCGTTCATAGTTGTCGCCGCGATGCTCCACGCGAACAGAAGTTTCAGCCGAAAGAGCTAAAACCGAAAGACCGATGTAAGGCTGCACCGCCGGAAAAACTTTGAATTATTAAATTATTTTCATTATCCCGCTTGTAAATTTGCTTCTTAGATTATACTACTACTTATAATTATACGTTAAAATAAATTAAAGGAAAATTTATACATGCAACGTCGTATATAATCTAATCTTTATCTTTATTAATAACACGCAATATATTTACGGTCACCGTGTATTGTCACTTTCGTCTCTTGTTAGGACCGAATACCGCACATATATGTCAGCAGTAGCTATCATATTTGACAGCTAGATGCGCAGCAATTTCACTCGATAAAAAGTGTGCAAACCGTTTTGCATATGAGCATACACTTCCTCGTACTATCTCATTCCCATTATTCGCTGGCGTCAGCCCTAGTGACGTCAGGCTCCGTCTATTCATACTATGTCTATGGTCGCAAGAAATGCCGTATTGGCCGCTTTCAATTTCTCTCTGCTTCCAACCAGAAATAGTAGGAGAATGGCGTAGGGGCTTACTTCAACAGGCCCAGAGCCATATATTGATTGAAGGAAGGAAGGAACCAGAAATAGTAGCACTTGTAACTAGTAGTTGCCATCCGTTGTAACTCGCAACTATTGGCAACCTATTCTGCACTGGCCTGAAGGCATCCGCCTGGCGCTTTTTTACGCCGGAGGTGAGCGTTCGAATCCCGCCGACGATTTTTCATGTTTCTTTTTTTTCTTACCTCGCACATTGTTTGCGACGGCGCGAGGGAGTGGAACACTCTTATCAGAAGGGTCGAAGCCGAGTCGTTAACTTGTGGTTAAATTTTAATAAGAGGAACTTAATCCTTTATCGCGACGGCGATATTGAAATTTCGCTATAGGCCGCTTTCAGAGAACAGTAGCAATGCACATCCGAAAACGCTGAACTTTGTCACGCGGGAGGCGACGGATTCGTTCCTGGGCAACCGGCCACGGTCGTGTGGACGCTTGGAACGAGGGCTCAGAATTCTCTAAATGAGCGAGCGCGTCGCTCGTGAAAGTGCCAAGATTCGTGGCGAATACTTGGACTGAGAGTTCGCAAACTTCCCAAGGAGACGGCAACGCAGTTTCTAACAGTCGAGGTCCTCGACGGACACTCGGAAAGACAGAGTCCCCTGTTCCACCCGGAAGCGATCGAGATCGCTCCTGGCGCGTGGAAACGAAGTTAACTCCACTAGAAATAGTAGATTCTCACCATAGAGCCTCTAAACCCAGCAGGATGTATTAGGCACCGCAAGTCAACTCAGCAGAGTGTAGATTGCGTTGGTTTGAATCTGTACTACGCGCAGAACGGCTCTAAGAAAGTTCAGAGCAAGTCGATAAGGAAGCGTGCACCGACAATAGTGCACAGGTAGCGCCCTTTGATCAGAACGGCAGTTGCCGAAAGATTAACAACGAACTAAGAACAAGAGGAAGGCTGGTCAGCGGCGGCGGTTCTTATATACCCTTATTCGCACGAATTCGACTTCGCGAGAGCAGCGCGTGCATGAGAGTCCGAAGCATGCGACGCGTTGTGGATTCGCGAGGGACTAGGCGGCTTCTCTCCTGCCCATGCCGACAAGTGGGCCGACGGAAAGCCGCTACTGGCATGACGTGACCTAAACGACGGCTTAGAGTCGCGAACACACATGCAATTAATGCTTTTAACTTATAATTAATATATTATTCATATTTATTCCGTTTTCATGCAGATAAATAGAGAATTATAAACAAGGAAGTTCGAGGCTTTTTTAACGTAAAATATAAAATAGAAACATAATTTGCAATTCTTAAAAAGGAATATATTTTTCTTATATATCATAAAATTGTATGCACGTCACAAGGTAGAAACATTTTGCAAAATCTATGTGTCATAAAATTCTATCATATCGTCGCAATGTTGAGAATGAAAAGTTGTATAAAAATATTCGAAACATAAATATTTTTTTGCACCAGGTACATACAATAAAAGAATTGTATTGTTCACAAACGAACTTTTGATTATGGATGTTGCCTAGAAAATATTGTTGATTAACGTTATAAAAAATGTTTCGACTTCTGCTAAATTGGACGCATACCATTCATATTGCAGCATATATTTGAATCCTGCTGCTGATAATAAGTAGCGAGTAAGCGATTGTATGAGAATCGCATTAACTCGAGTGTTCAAATTTATAGTTTAGTCGTATAAATTTTGCAAATTGGAAAGCTGTTCTCTCATTGGATATCGAACGTCGTACATCGTATGCCTTGCCTTGGTGAGAATCCTCCATTAGGATTATTAAACCCGTTATTTTGATTACATTTAAAGTGTTCGTTACAAGTCGCCACCATCTCTATTGGGCTGCGTTCCGAAATTCACTGCCAGTACTGAAAATACATAGTTTATGTCACATATACTATAGAATTTTAGTGCTAACAGTGAATATCGGAACGCAGCCCTGAAGATTCGAGGTTGTAAAGTAACTGAATAAGTCGACATATATTAAATTTTTAAATATATCCGAACACATTAAAATACTTTTACTTTACCAGAAAATAAGTAAATAAGGAAAAATAAGTAAAATTCAACTGTCTGTAATTTTAATGAAAATGACGATAGTGAAATGATTTAAAAAACATTTTGCGCTTAATCCAATTTTCCAGATTATAATAAATGCCGAGATATGAGTTCAACGTGATATAACGATCATTCAATTTTATATCTTGATTGAGTTTTTCTACTGAAAAATTATTTGTATCAGGAATATGATGAATATATTTTCAAAAGCAAATTTTAAATTTTCTTATATTTCAGCAAACATTGTACTAAGTTAACACATTATAAACATAATGAAAATTCAATTTTAATAGACATAATGGAAATTCAATTTTTATTATGTACATAAAATATTATTTTGTAATATTGACTGTAAATATAATAAACAGTAAGTAGGAAACTACAATGCGTAATTAAACAATTTAACATATTAAATGACGGATATAATACACATAAGAATAATTCCATATTAGTATAAATATTTGTTATAATATATAAATATTTTTAATGTACAAGCAGCATACAAACGAGCAATGCAGCTTAAAATAGAACGAACGACGGACGTCCAAAAATACTTTAGCGCTCTTGCTTAGTCGTTGAAGAGAGTTGTTTCGGATAACAGTGAAGTTTAGCAGAGGTATTTTAAGAAAAAAATACTTGATACTCGTACATACTTCCCGATAAATTCCCATCGACGTAAAGCAATACATTCGCGACCGCAGTGGCAGTTTTTATTGAAAATTTGCAGGCAAATTGATCGGTGTTTCAACGATTTCCGAAATGTCGACATTTTATCGGAGCACTGCGTAACACGCACGCTGAATACATCATAAATATGAAAGAGCGACTGAAATTAATAACGAGCAACATCGCATTTGCCTGAAATACGGCGGAGAACGTGATTTGTGATAAACGAAAACAGAAAAAATGAAAGAAGCATTAGTCGTTCTTTCTATCAGAAACCAATATTCCGCGATTTCTCTATTGTCTTTGCACCACCGTACTGTACTAATTGACAATTTACAGCTGAATCGAGGCTACTTCATCCTTGCAGAATTATATCCGAAATGGAGGGACCCGTTCCTGCGGCTGGCGGAGATGCACCGGTGGTCGAAGCCACGAAGACCGACGACTCATCGTCACGATCGACGATCGCGATAAAACCGACAAACGTCGATATAGCGCAAGATGTAATCGGATCCGCGGGAGAGAATTATATGTCAACGGAAGTAGGTGCAGAAGCGAACGCGCCCGTCGAAGGAGTCGCTGATTCCGTCACGAAGATTACAAATACAAATGCAAAGGATCCTGAGGAGGATCCTAAGGACGCGATCGCGGCGATACAACTGCTTGATAAAGACAAGGTACGGTACGACTCCAATTAAGCCAAATCACGCGCAAATGATCCTTTCGAATGGCTATTTACTCAGTTTATCGTTTCTCGTAGACCGACGATAACTCGAAGCCAAATATCGTGCATACGAAAGGCGACAATGTGGCCTCAGTGTCGCAGTTGGAGGAGAAAGTCAGGGTGAGGAAAACCTCGGAAGACGGGGAACGTTCCTGGAGAAACGACTCACCTCGCAGTCTTGTGAACCCAGTTAAATCTCACATTTAGCGAGGACCTTGTCGAGAAGCTTGTCGAGCCACTTTCTGCATTCTTCGCGTGCACTTCTACCTCCGTATATTAACACGCTCCACTTGCTGGATTTTACTCCTTTAATATAAACCGCGTCTTCCTGTAAATGTCTGTAGATTCTTCAGTTCTCTTCATGTAAACTTTAACGTTGAGGATCCTTATGATCGACAGAACAGGACGAGGGAGCGCGACATTTATCGAAAGAAGTTGGAAGAGACGGAGAAGAAGCTAGCTACTTTGCAAGCGACCTACGACGCGACGACGCGTCAAGGTGGCGATGAGACCAGCCTGCAACGATCGGTGGAGCAGCTGCGAGGCCAATTGGCACAGACAGCGTTGATGTACGAGGAGAGGAATCACGTGGTTGCGAATCAGGAAAATCAAATCAACGCCCTGAACAATCAAGTGACTTCGCTGAAGGAAGTGGTATCCATCACGCGCGACCTACTGCAGATCCGTAATATGGAGGTGAAACAGCTTCAGGTAAGCCGAATGATCTCGTCAAATCGCTGACGACGTTTCGTAAACAGACAATATAGCTGTACCTGCAAAAAGAATGCATGTTTTCTTTATAAGTAATAAGACGAATTTGAGTGACATAATGGAATTTAATAGCTAAGATATATGATATTATAGGCAGAAGTCGATAGTATGGAGCGGAAGATAACTGAAGAACGTGATCGACATAACGCGATGATTAGCAAGATGGACACGGCGATGCGATTAAATGCTGATCTCAAAAAGGAGTACGAAACTCAATTGTCCCTGTTTCAGAGTCTTCGAGAGAAATATGGCGAAAAAATCACTCTGTTGTCCGAAGAGAAGAGAGCCCTCGAAGCGACAACTACTACACCTCAATGATCATGTATCACAAACTTCTTAATTACGTGTTATAAATATCTTAATCACGTGCTGATCAAAATCGTTGGCGAGAATTTATTTTGTAACGATTATTGCGCTACTGTTTAATATTTATTAAACGATAAGATATCAAAAGAACATGGCCGTTACAAGATGCAAATGACGTAACTGTTTTAATTTCTATATGCTATCTAATGTAGAGATAACACCGAATTCAAAAATTATGGAAATAACTGTTTTTCAATATTAAAAAAGAAATATAGCTTTGTTGGAATATAATAAATGTTGACATATTTTAATACTTATAATTTAACTTCAAATTTTTAAAGAAGAGCTAATGAATCATGATATATTGTTTTTAGTATTTTTAAGTATTTCTGAATAAAAGCTCCTTATTGTTTTTGTTGAACAAAGAAAGTATAACCAAACAATTAAACAAATATTGAACAAATATTTTCTAATACTATTTTATTAAACATCCATTTTTAACTAAACTTTATTTTTTAATTCTATTGTACTAAACAGTCATATACATACATATATACATATATATATATGTATATATGTATATATATATACGTATAAATATACATATATATCCATATAAATATATATATATATATACATATATATGTACATATGTGTATGTGTATATATATGTACTAATGTAAAAATATTTCTTTGATTATAAAGACTGCATTATATCACTTTAGTTTCAAACATTCACTCTACGATATTAAGTAAAAATTTAAATTTTAAAGTCCCATGTTAAATAAATCTTTTTTATAACTACCCCAATCACAAAGTGTCATCGTCGGATATATAGGGCAGCTCAGGAGATGAAAGATTTATATATTCCTCATCAAAGAAATTAGGAAAAATAAGTTTCGGAATTTCTACAGCTAGTAATGTTTCTGAATCTGAAACAAAAAATTAACAAATTACATATAAAACTCACAAATATATATTATATGATATTGATATTTATCTGACCTTTCTTTTCACAAGGTATTATATTTTCCTTTCCTTTTAAGTATTGATTTATGAATTCTTGCTCCATAGTTTCAACATATTTATGATCTATGAAACATAAATATTTTCGTAAGAATAATCCCATTAATACAATAGCTAATTGTTTATAACATAATGGTTATAACATAATTATTTATAACATAAATGTTTATAACATAATTCTACATACCAAATTCATATTGTGCATCATAAGGATGTGCTAAATTTTCTGGTTCACGAATTTTAACAAATTTCTTAGGAGGCAATGGTTTTTTAAAAATGTTATCTGCTATCTCTTCTGTTTTTTTATCTTTATTAATTTCTTTTTTCTCTCCTTTTGGAATTAATTTCTGAAATCCTTGAAATTCAACATTGCAATGTTTACTACTAGGAAATTCCCACTGTTCCTATAGAAAAAGATACATTATAAATATATATGTATATATATAGTAAATTTATTTTTAATAGAATATAGATATATATAAATATGCAATAAATAAATCCATTTAAATTATATATTTTATATGTTCATCATATTTTTAACATATATTAAAAATATAATTTCAGTTTCATTGCTTTTGAAAAAGATTACCTTTAGTGGATATGTTTCCACTTTGGATAAGGTATATCCGCAGCTATCTTGTTTTGTCTTAGGCTTTGAAATTTTTGATTCTTTGGGATTATATAAATTTCCTTTTGCACTAATTGGACGTGTGCTATGACATATGTTCATATCTGAGTTAGATCTTATTGATAAGCCTTTTGATTTCTGCCCTTTAGGCTTAAAGATAGTTGTTTTACATGGTGATGGCATGGGTATTGTTATCAAATCTGTATTATGAGACAATTGATTAGTTTATGCATGATACATTTCATGATACATGATTTTATATATATTAAATATATTTTTTAAAATAGAAAATAAATAAGAATCTTATCATAATTATTTTATTTTTGTATATTGTAATAAATAGTTATTATATTTATCATATACTATAATAAATAGTAATATAACAAATAAGACAACTGATATTAAAACTCATTCATTAACTTATTTCGAACTTATTTCAAAACTCACAGATCTTTTCAAGACATTAATTTATTTCAAATTCACAGATATTTCAAGAAATAAATTATATAAAAAGTATGAAGAAGAGTGTAGCTTATATATAAGGATATAACCAAATATGTGGATACTTACTATCAGGTTTGGAAATTTTGTTATATTCATGAAATAACGACATTTTGCAAACATACAATTAAATTTACAAATGTTTTAATTGTGGTTCTCTTTTTAAATAAATTATCGAAAGCCTATAATTATTTTCAATGTCTGACGTAGATGTAGATACAACAATCTTATCTCATCGAAGACGCTTGGGAATTAACGATCTTCTTGATGTTATGGTTGATAATATAGTTTGCGACCATTTTTCTGAAACGCCATCTTAAGGCTAATATTACATGCATCAGACGACAAGCTTGCTAGACGTTCCGATTGGCTATCAGATAGAGAATTTCTAGGGTGCCTAGAGAAAAAATTAGGCTCCTTAGAAATTTTTTATCTGACAGCCAACGGAATGTTCGATAAGTTTGATATATGTATAATATTAACCTAAGATAGTTTTCAGTAGTTATGTTTACAATTTAAAATTAGTATGTATGTACTATGTATGTACAATCCCAATGCCCAATAAAACTCTTATACTTAATTATAACTTATATTAAATTATTATTGTTTATTATACATTATCTTATTATAGCTTATACTCAATTATAAATAATTAAAAATTGTACTGTTACATAAATTGTAATTCATACAACAGTATAGATTCTTAAAGTCTTTAAGAAATTTCAAATTGATACTATTAAATATTACATAGAAATATTATAAGAAATAGAATCAAATGCTATTTATATACAACTAAATTTCAAATATCTACTAATAGCTATTGAACAAATAACAATAATGAACATAAGTGAAACATTGTATAGACATGTCTACTCATAACAAAGATCATGTTGGAAAATAGTTTGCAGTTGGGGATATCTGATATAAAAGTATAACAGAAGACAAACAAAGAAACAATCGTATAAAATGCAATCACATAAAACAATTTATACATATACTTATATGTATATATATTGTTACTTAAAATATACACATAAATATACACATAAATATATGTACCTATTTTACTTTATTAAAAGAGACAATGCCAGTAGCAAATGCTCAATATTATGTATAATATATATTTTTATAAGTATGATCACTCTATCTTTCTTCTTCATTCATAATAGGTAAGCATCATACAAAGGCCATTATAACATATGGACAACAGGAAGCTACCAACTGTTTACAGTGGAATGCTTTAAGTCTGTCTACTAGATAGAAACCTCCTGTGTCACCAGTTAGACAAGCCTGCTTAAGGAGAAATCCATACAATAAGTTGTTTGTGTATATACAATTATTTACTATATTTACCCATGGACGAAAGAATATATTTGGAAAGAAGCAATATACAACATTATATTAATAGAAACATCAATTTAAACGATCAGACCGTAATAAAACTTTGAAAGTGAGAATAATTATTTCACCAATTGCATTAAAACAGTATTTCTTTGATGCCATATGTATGCTAATACGAGCACTTCTTTCGTCTATGTGTAGTACAATTAAGTTAAACGTTTATAAATGCATTTATAAATATAAGTGGTATAAATAAATGTTTGAGCTTCTGCAGAAAAAAATAGTTTTCTAGCTACTATCCAGATGTTGTTGTTACGGTGATATTGCAATTCCCGTAGTATTTTTCTCCTTTTTTACAATCTGTATCAAAACGGTCTGTCAGTCTCTTCCATGTATTCATGAGTAAATGTGTTAAGATTAACAGCAGCATCTCTTTTCCTTAACATCTTCAAGCCATTCTGATGCTTTGGATGATTTGAAACACAGCTGTAACAGAATAAAAAATAAAATGTTACTTCTTAATTATAATTTCACATAAAATTTAAGAAATTAATTTAAAAACTCAAGTATATTTCTAGATACAAGTAATAAAAAAACAAAAATAATACTTTTTTTAACTGATATGTAAATCCTATAAATAAACTTATATTACAAACTTACATATCACTATTATGTATATATACATGTGTGTGTATATGTGTATGTATACATAGTGTATTAAAAAATTGACAAACTTTGCAGATATAAAAGAGATGAAGACTAATATTTTTTGTTAACAACACTTTTTATAGTCATTTACTTTTATATTATAAACTATTTTATTATTGTCTTAATCTAGCATCTATTAGCAGAGACTTTCATTATGAAAAAGCAAGTCACCTTTATGTTTTTTTATTTGTTTATCTGCAGGATAAAGATTTGATATAAATATTCCAGCATTCTTTGTTTATTCTTACACTTTGAAACTTTCAAATTAAAATTAGCAATGTTTCATTTTGAAGTTACATGACATAGATTAAAAATTTTGTAATTTAATTTAATTTTGTAAATTTGTCTAATTTTTTAGCATCTTATATGTCAGGATTATTATATGTATACTTACCAGATCCACAAACTAAGAAGAGAAATAGAGCTAAGAGCCAAGGTCCAACAGAAGATCCCTCTTGCGATTTCTAGTAAAGAAAAAATTCCTGTTGATTTAACATAACCAGGTATAATCATCCCGAAACAGATGGAACATACATGTAAACAATATTGCGACGTATAATTATGACAGCTGTCCATTGATAGAAACAGATGGAATATGCATATGGGTAAACTCGAGCGATAACTCTCGACAAAAGTGCGATACATATTGTAACAAAGCAAATATCGACGTTGACTTAAAGCTTGTACAAATTCATTGCAACTGAGCCTCTCTATAACCTCAAATCGTAAATTAGGCTGAAAACTGTTTTTATCCGAAGATAAACATACTGACGACGGACAATCGTCAATTTGTAACGACCCCACGATCGCAAAGAACCTACTTTCACTTGATTCGCCCTCCTTCCAAAACCATATGTTATTTTCCCCTTAAATATCCGCTACATAAAACCGGGCCTCCCGTGGCGCGATTTTCCTCCTATTTCTTCGAACGGTACAATCGACGATTCCACGATCGGCTTGACGTGCGTTCTTCGTCGTTTCGTCGGCGAAACCCGTCTTCCGCGTTACCCTGACAAGCGAGGACTCACCGATGATTTGGGTACATTGCCGCGCAGCGTGATATTCTTCGTCGCCTTCTCGTTGGCGATGCGCATTCTCTGTTTCGGTGCCATCGTCGTCGTTTGGCGAATTCCTTCAGATTAGAGGAGCTTCTGACAAATTGACAAATCGTTCTTCGCGCGCGCACACACGTATGCGTATACGTCCAAACGTGCCCAGCGTCCTCGAACGTCTACAACGACGCGCGTATGTTAACCGGGATGCCCCGCTCCGCGACGTTCGTCGACGTGTGCGCTGTGTGACACGTGAAACTGCGCGACAGCTCGGCTCCTCGTGCCACACGTCACCACGTTGGTCAGTTGAGCGAGTCCATTTCGTTCCTCTGCAGCTGTCATCGCTTCAAGGGAAATTATTCATTATCGACGACGCGTCGTCAGTTTAAGTAGATACAAATATGAGTATCAGTCGTCGTTGATCGCGGTTGAAAGTTCAGCGGATGTTCAGCGTGGAAAGAGGGTCAAGTGGCCGCCATATTAAAGTGGGTGTTTCAAATCCTTTAGGTGTCAGACGGATCCCCGGATGAGAGATGCTTTGATGTGGCACGGAAAACGATTGACCCCGATTGCCGAGTAGTAGTATTTAATGTGTGGCTTTGAATAATCGCATACCGAATAAAATAACACGGAAAGTAGGCGTGGATTTCGGAGTAAGACGTGCAAGATCTCTCCGTCGATTTCAAAGGTACAAAGCAGGAATGATCTCGACGATGAGCCCGATGAAATTACGGAGAAAGAGACGAGACTGCGATTGTGTGTGTGTTGTACGTAGAAATTATATATATATATATTTTTTAGAACCGCTACATCTAACAACAAATCGTTTATTTTCGAAGACTCCCATCGACAATCATCATAGTCATCCGGTAAAACCTCCGAGACATAATACTCTCGTCATTGTGTTTCTCGCGAATATCCAAGTAATCCTTCTTTTAATCGTCAAACGCTGTATTCACTCGTCACTTCTTCACGGCGATTAATACACATACGTACGTGCGCGGATGATTGTCCGCCGGCGCCAAGGAATCACGAGACACGAGGACTCGCATGTCCTCGTAGCGAACGCACGCAGACTCGGCGGGACTTGCTTTCGTTTAACGACGGCGCTTCGTCAAAGTAACACAACGGACATACAAACGGAGGGAGGAGATCCTGACGTGTGGCACCTCGGCTTTTGTCTCTTACTTTGCACTATCACCTAGCACAGCGATAAGTTAAGAGTTTTTCTCACCGAGAAACGACGGAAGCTGCAGGCTTGAAACTCGCGGTACTCGTCATCGTTAACGCTGAAACGCAGTCCGCACATCAACGTAAGAGCCTTATAAAACTACGCCGTTAATAAATTATAATACATTGTCGTTATCGCGTCTAATTTATTCCGAATCATGTATCAGAACTCTCGATATCGCATAAAGTTTTATTTCGTGCCCCTTCGAACTGGAAAAAGAGCTCATCTCTTGCCTCGTATTATGTTTTATATATATATATATATATATATATATATGTGTGTAAACGTAAACGTCGTTGCGTTTAAACGCTCGTACTAAATTTTATTTAGCTAGAAAGCATACAAGAGAGCGTGGAAACTCGTTAATTTTCTCGCACGACAGTTCCTTCAATTTCACGTGGCGTTCCCAAACGCGATACGGCGCGACATGCGCCGGGTATATATTTATTTATATACGCGCGAGAAACCATCGCGATCGTGCAAACTCGAAGGAACTCGTAATATGTATGCCGAACCGTCGACCATTACAGATTTGTCAACTCCGCTGGCGTACACGTGCTTACAAAACGGTTTGTACGTCCTTCCCCCGATGCGGTTTGGAACGAAGTCGATGGTCCAACGGAGAGAACGTTTATTTTTCACTCACTCCCGTGGCTTCGATCCTTTCTCACTGGGCCATTGGACTGCGTGCCGAGCTGCATCGAGAACTAAAGATGCCGAGGCCGCTTTGACAGAAACTTTGAGTACAACCAGTATACCGATAAAAAATATTGCGATGACAAAATACACGCGGCGCGACGATCTGAAATTTGCACGATCACGAAGCGCTCGGACTCGTATGGGACTTCGACTAACACTCTTACAATTATTATTTTATTATTGACAGACGACTGTGTTTGTGTATATGTGTGTGTGTGTGTGTGTGTTTGTGTGTGTGTGTGTGTGTGTTCTCGAGATATTGCGCGCATACTAGTACGACGGGTAAGACCCGTTTACAGCACATTTTTACTTGCCCCGGGACAGAGCGACTCGAAAGGAAAGGAATTAAATGAGCGAACAGCGAAACGAAGACATCGTTCGAACATCTGCGACCGTAATCTGCGCGCCGACGTGAGTTTCGTTGGAAGAGTAATACAGTACATCCGAAGGGCGTATGAAACATTGCGTACGCGATGCCGCATCCTAGAAAAAAAAGAAGATGTGCTCGCGTAAGTTAACGATGAGCTGGGAAATGAGAATCGCGCTCGAGCGTCATGCTCACTGCTTGGGAGTTCTCGAGTTCTCTCCGCGCCACCGGCAGAAGTGCGAGTTATCCTCATCCTGAGCAGTGAGCAGCGCGCTGCATGGGAAATTACATGCGACCCAAGATGCAAATGATGACGGCGACGTGTTCCTCTCTCTTTAATCTATCTTAACTGTGGAATATATCTTCCGCACGAAAGCGTTAGTGCCGATGTAGCCGACCGTTCCGCACATGATGCCCAGTGCCAAACTGAATAACGCCATATAACCGAAGTAAAATGCCGTTTGGAAGAGACCATACATTCTGCGAGAATAAAAAGCAACGATTGTGAGCTGTGCTCGCAGCTATCGCGAGTCTTAAGACTGAGACGCAATTGCGTCGTTCAGTGTACATTTACTCACTTGGTTTTGAAGAAGAAATAGTAAAACGAATAGATATAGACGTAACCGGCCGTTGAAGCCGCCGCGAGAAAGCTCGTCCACTGCCTGTGAAAATACATTTACATGGTGGCTGTATAACCCAAGGCGATGAAGGAGAAGAAAAAAGACGAGAATAAGAGACACTGAGAACTCACCATCGATAGTCTTCGGCGTTCAGCAGGAAATATGTACATACAATAGTGACGCACACCGTCACTATCATGAGAATAACAAACACTAGTAACATAAAGCCGTAGACATAGTAAATCTTGTACGCCCAGAACGAGGTAAAGATGAAGTACCTGGGAGAGCCAAGCAGCCAGATTAATCGTGCGCGCAATTTTCATGTGAGCGATTCAAGCGATCAATTTAGAGCAACCTACATCTCGATGAAGATCGAGCCGAAAGGTAAGATCCCGCCCAGCATAATGATCACCAACGGCTCCATGAACCACTTCTTCTCGGGTATCGGACGTGGCACTGCGTTCACCCTACACGGAGCATCTGGCGTTCCGGCGAGATTTCGGCCTAGAATCGTACCTACCAGTGTCAGCGGTAAGATCACGAATATGCAGATGCACGTGACCGCGACCTGCGGGCAGGAGCAATCGTGTTAATGCGTGACACAACGAAGAGGAAAGGAACGTTGATCGTGAATCCTTGGATGGCGGATGCTCTTACGTACCATGGATCCGAACGGTATCGCCCTGCTGGCATGGTAATACATGGCGATGAAATTGATGAAGAAGGCCGTGCCACATACCAGCAGCGGCAACATGAAGGCGCTGAGGATCATCTGTTTGATCCACACACGTCCGCCCATCCGTGCATACAGCCCACCACCCGCGTACCCGTTGATAGGCGACGTCGCAGCGTACACGAATATCGCTGTCGACAGCATCGATCCGCGTTCCGTGTAGAGTTCTCCCAGAATAGCGAAAATAATTACACTCAGCACAACCACCGTGACCTGCGTATGTGCAAAAGACCCGACGATTTTACTCTCCCGCTTCAACGGTTTGAAACATAGAGAGGAAGATCAGACATACACACCTGGTAGCCCGCGCCTATAAGAGCCGAGAAAAGCATGGCGTGACTCGCGGGTCTAAATACGTCGCCGTGCACCTGCTTCCAGCCATACTCGTCGCCCAAATCTCTCTCCATGTCATCCATTTCTTCGTCTCTACTGTACCTGGCATAATCTTTCCTCAAGGTACGCATCAAAATCATCGATACTAATCCAACCAAGAAAATTACCATCATGAAACTGTTGAAGATGCTGAACCAATGTATCTGAAAGAATAATTTAAGATTTAAATGAGATATTACATGTTTCTCTCTGTTTTATGCGTATTAAAGTTACAATACTGTTAAATACCAGTCATTGGAGTACATACTCTGTGCTGGAAGAAATTAGGATCCAGATATTTGTCAAATCTATCTTCAAATTTGACATTACTTTTCTTCCAATTAACTTCGTAGCTAAAAGGAATATGTGCACCCTGAATCAGTTTCACTTTGTTTTCACTGGTCAAATTGACATCCACTATTTGTTTACCATTGTACCCTATATCAAACTTTTTATGTGTCCAGATATGATAGGAAATAATTCCATCTTTTTCTTCAGGTTCTCCCACAACACCTATGATACAAAAGAATCCTTTTAATATAAAATTTTACCAATCAGATATATGTAATGTGAAATGTCAAAGTTCATTTACCCCATATTGGTAAGTCGTCAATGTACATTTGATACCAATACTGATTCTTTACTGCGTATACAAAAGCCTTTTGGCTTTCTTCATTTAAACTTGTCTGGCAGTATTCTGTTTTGGAGATATCCTCTGAAATATATTAAAAACATATATAATTCTATTTTTTTACATCACTAATAGGTTAAATCGTATCTAAACAACTATTTGTTTATACAATGATTATAAATGTACCCACCTTTGAATTCGATATCTAAACCACTGAACTTCAACTCTATACCTTGGAGAGCTTCTGAAAGAGTCTCATGATAGTGATTGATAACATCCTTGGTGCCCGTACAAAAGGGTAGGGAATAATAGGAGTACGTCTCCTGACGATTGTGATACGGCCCTACTGTGCTCATCCATAGTACAACTTCGTCGCCGTCCTCGTACTGAAAACAAACAACGTATCCTCTAATCACTGATGTCTGCGACACCTTCTGTTCATCACGTCACATGAATTGATATAAATTATTTAATCAAAGAAGGATTAAACGGAGCACGCTCTAAACTGGCCCATTACGACATCAATATGTAATTAGGTGCGGCGATAACGGTGCGGAACTCGATGATACGTGTCACATTACGCCGGCATCATGTACTCGTCATTCCCCGTGCGGATAACGAGGCTCGAGCAGGAGGAAAGCGAAAGTAGAGGAAAGAGAGGCAATGTCGAGGCGAAAAGATGGAACGGCCGCGTACCGTGTTTTAAAGGCGCAACGTTGGCCTTTAAATGTCGTGAGGTTGCGGTAATCTGACATTCGCGGGAAACAACACATGTCGGCAACGCGTAACAATACTCACGATGTGAGTGTGCTCGTCGGTACGGACGAAGGGGAGGAGGCTAAGAGCCAAAAAGTGGAGTAACAGTCGTGCCCGACACATGCTTATTCGTGACGGGAAGGCGCACCGGGCGCCTTACGCGAGCACACAGAAAGATTCCAGCGAAACGCGATGACAGACAATCCCCATAGATTCGTGATACGCCAGCGTTGCGGCTAGCAGAAACACCGGACACCACACACGGGACGGACACGTATCAGGAACGTTAGAGCGATATACACCGCAGCAGCTGATACACGCTGTCCAACGAGAACTTCGTCCGTCGCGTTGTTAGATGGTGCACTCGTCGATAATCGATTTGCCTCGATACATCGAAAAGGAATATCGAGAGCACCGTAGCCAATCCGAATTCTCTTTCCCCTTATTGCCGGCGCATCAGTAGAACTGTTGATGATAAGTGTGGAATTCTTGCGCTTCGTTCAATTGCAGGATTCTTAATAACGTAACCTCTCGTGTGTGTATGTGTGTGTGTACGTACGTACGTAACCTTTTTGTTTACAAATATATATTACATTCGAATTGTATGAATTACTCTTGTGAGACAGTTTGTTGTCAATTTTACATCAATTCATTCTAGAGTAAGAGATATATTAGAGTCGCGCGTACAAAACACAATGTCAGGCCCAATGGTATTGTGTCAACTGTGGATGGGTGGTGTGAGTGAATAGTTTCTAACAGATTAAGTGGATAGATAGATGAAAACGATTAGGTTACTTACAAATGCAATTATTGAAATTCATTTGTTTTTAGTTGGAGCCATACATGACCGAGAGCTTCATAATGAATGCATTTCATAAGATGGGTGAGCAGCCACAAACTGTAAAAGTTATGCGCAACAGATACACTGGTGAACCTGCTGGATACTGTTTTGTACATTTTCCGACTGATGAAATGGCGCTCGATGCTATGCACAAATTAAATGGTAAAGTAATACCTGGATCAAATCCTGTAAGTATCTTGCATTAATCTTTACAAATATATCTTGAATGAAGTAAGTTTGTTGATCATTAACTGGATATCTTGTAGTACATTCGTTGATCAGTGCTAGTACAACAGGAAAACCGCAGCTGACAGAGAATTTACATATGGTAGAGATAAAAAAAAAAAAAAAAAAAAAAAAAAAAAAAAAAAAAAACATTGGTTCTTAAAATGAAGAAACAATAAACATGACCGAGAGCTTCATAATGAATGCATTTCATAAGATGGGTGAGCAGCCACAAACTGTAAAAGTTATGCGCAACAGATACACTGGTGAACCTGCTGGATACTGTTTTGTACATTTTCCGACTGATGAAATGGCGCTCGATGCATGAAGTATTGTTGATCATTAACTGGATATCTTGTAGTCAGTACGATTCCGTTTGAATCATGCTAGTACAACAGGAAAACCCGCAGCTGACAGAGAATTTAGCATATGGGTAGGAGATTTGTCCACTGACGTTGATGATTACTCCTTATATAGAGCATTTGCTGCTAAATACAATTCTATTAGAACAGCTAAAGTCATATTGGACAGTTCTGGATTCAGCAAAGGTTATGGTTTTGTTAGATTTGCAAATGAGGATGAACAGAAAAATAGTTTAAGCACCATGAATGGTTACAGAGGACTTGGGACAAAGTCTCTGAAAATTTGCAATGCTGTACCTCGACCTTGGAACAAGATATCTGGGTATAATACATATTACCTTTATAATATTTGATAAATATTATATGTGTAAATAATTTTGTACATATTATATAAAAAGAAATTCTCATTCTCATTCAATATCACTCTTTATTCAGCATTATTCATGAGCACTGTATATTTTATAGTTCAACACCACCACAATCAACTTCTGATTATCCACCATCAAATATGAATTCAGATGCATATAATTACTACGATACTTCATCATATTGGAATAGTTACAGTGCTTGGCAACAAGGTTACTACGAAAGCGAACCAACATCAGATGCTTATAATAGCTATGTATCTGATCAAAAACCTGAGGAAGATGAATTAGAATTAATTGGTATATTGTTATTTCCTTATAGTACAATCTTTAATTACTTGCTTATTTAGATATTTGACTACTTTCTATATTTTTTTCTTTGGCAGAACATTCAATCCCTATTGACATTGACAAAGCAAATAGGGAGATAATTGAACAGGATTATAATTTGTGGGATGCTTTGGAAAGTTCAAAATGGATTCCATGTGATACTATAGAATTGTGCTATTAATAATAATCATTGACAATTTGTGGTATCTACACTGTGGAGATTATAGAACATGTGTCATCTTTGTGCATTTTGGAGTCCTAGTATTAAATGATTATATATAAAGATAACATCGTATGTTTTCATGCATAATGTAATTTTTATTTGTAAAAATAAATACGCTTCTATTTATCTTAATTTTAATGTTTTATTTACGATTTATCGCTGTTGCGGTTGAAAATAATTATAATTTATGCATTTAATATAGAATTTTGCATGCATAAATGTTAGAATAATGTCATCATTCGAAGACAGTGCTATTAGAAAATATATAAGTCATGCATATTTTATTATATTTTGAATATTTTGACATTGCATACAATGTTTGATAGTAATTATCATTAAGTCTATTTACAGTCATATTTTCATGCTTAATAGAATATTGTTTTTATATAATTTTAAAGTTATAAAAAAATAAAAGTCAGTATAATTTTCGTTTGATAAAACAAGTTATGCCAGCATTTTGTTAATAGTCGTTTTCGTCATTAATTTCCATTACAACAATTAATGATTTCTTACTCACTGAAAATAAACTTTTTCTTCGATAAAGAATGTTACTCATATATATGCAACAATATGCAAATATTACAATATATTACAAAGGATTGTACAAATTCGCATACAACTAATAGAAAATATAACTTACATATATAGTTAAGAAGGTAACAAAGTCCTTATTTATATCGCAATCAAATTATTTTAACTTACTCTTCATGCATATGTTTCATACTTTAACTGTGTAGCATGTAGCTACTCATATAGTTATATACAGGGTGTCCCATTTAACCTGACAAATCGTAATATCTGGAAAACTACATGTCGGATAAAAAAAAGTGGGTAATGAAATTTGTTCGTCTCGAAAGGGGACATCCAATGATATCAAACTCGACCACCCACCCCACTCCCGGGCGGTGGGGGTGGGGGGCAACTTTGAAATCTTAAATGGGAACCCCCATTTTTTATTGCAGATTCGGATTCTACGCCACAAAATACGTAAGTTTCGTCCGAAACTTTTTTTTTATTCGTGATAGATGGCGCTGTAATCGCAAAAAATTAGATTTTCTGCAATTCTCCAGAAATGATCATTGGACTGAAAAATAAAAAAATACCTGTACAATATTTTTAAAAATATTTTTAAAAAACATAACAGTTATTCCCCTCCATCTCCTCGGGGTAGGGTGGGTGGTAACGTTCAAATCTCAAATGAGAACCCACATTTTTCATTGCAGAATTAGATTTTATGTGAAGTTTTTATGGAAACAATTTTTTTCATTCGTGATAGATAGCGTTGAATTTTTCCGAGAAACTACTTTTAGCGTTACCCAAGAACAACGACGAGGACGTAGTACTCACCTAAAACAAGCACCCCGATGGTGAAAGGCGAGGGGACTCACCTACAAATCGAAGGTTAAAGTTTTCTAACTTGTACCGTTCATATCTCCGCTTCTACTGGGAATTGAGAGTCGAAATTTATGCTGAGATTAGGGTTGATACAAGACTATATTCTTACAAAAAAAAACAGGCCTGTATCTCTAGCCGTTTAGGAGATATCGATGGTTAAAGTTTTCCAACTTGTACCGTGGATATCCCCGCTTCTACTGGAAATTGAGAGTCGAAATTTATGGTGAGAATAGAGTTTGTGCAGGACTATACATTGACAAACAAACAGGCCTGTATTTCAAGCCGTTTAGGAGATATCGAAGGGTAAAGTTTTTCAACTTGTACCGTCAATATCTCCGCTTCTGCTGGGAATTGAGAGTCGAAATTTATGGTGAGATTAGGTTTAATACAGGACTACATTTTGGCAAAAAAAAAACAAGCCTGTATCTCGAGCCGTTTAGGAGATATCGAAGGTTAAAGTTTCCCAACTTGTACCGTTAATATATCCGCTTTTACTGAGAATTGGGAGTCGAGATTTAGGGCGAGAACAGGGTTGATACAGGATTATATTGTTGGAAAAGAACGTGCCTGTATCTTGCGTCGTTTAGGAGATATCGTAGGTTAAATTTACTATCGATCAAGTTCGCTTATAACTAGCATTTATCTCTAGAGCGCTTCTCGGGAACATTCCATTCGAAGGGTTAGTCGGGGATAGAAAGTTTCTTGCGACCGGAGACCGCTGTTGTTTAAGGTTAAATTGCAGCAACAGTATTGTTATCGAGCAACCCTGAGACGGGCTGCTAGCATCCATCTGTGACGCCTGCCGCGCCTTTGCGATTACCGGTACATTCAGTTTTCTCGATTGCTCGCGCGATTTCAAGTAGCCATAATATATGGCGAGAATACATGGCAATATATAGCAATAATATATGGTAATAATATACAGCAACAATATATGGCAACAATATGTGGCAACAATATGTGGCAATAACAAATGGCAATAATTCATGGAATGTATTTTTCGTTACAAGAGTCAATGCAAATTTGCAGCATGCACAATGTAATAATAAAAGGGCTTTCTGCGAGCATTGAGTCAGACACTCACCGATGATGATATTGATGATGTCCTGTTGCATCCAACCAGATCCACCAATGTTCGGCCATGTCCGCTGCCGCTCTCCATGTCGCGCAACATGCATCTTGCAGCACGTCCCACGTTGATTGCTACACTTTCATCACACTTCCGCGATGCGGTCGATACGCGGTATTAGAACGGCGATATTTGCGTCAATTAACGAACGTTTTACTCGCCATCGGTGGAAACTTTTTGCACGCTGCGAAACGGACTCTATAAACTCGATCGACGAGGAGCAAGAACCGTGTGAAAATTTATTGACTCGTTCAACGGATTTTTACGGCGCTTTTCGCGATTGCGTCTGAAAAGTCGCAAAAACGTGGGAGTATCGATATCTACGAGTGAAATATTCGCGACGCGAGGAAAGATTAGACAATCAGAAACCGATCGCCCCTAGGGAGCGCAAGGAAAGAGGAGCGGGGGAAAGTTTTCACGCATGATAGCTCCGTTATGACGAAGCTTACGTTCGCGATACTTTGGCGAAATGAGAATTTAAGCCTTCTTTGTTAGCAGCGCAGGTAAAAACGCGTATTTTGATAACCGCAGTCGTGATATTCAAAGGCACGCGAGCGAGGATACCTCAAGCTCGGCGTGCGCTGGCGCAATATCTGCGCGCATTATACGCTACTCGAGACAATAGAGATCGTGATGAATGGACAATATTACCAAATAATTCTACAGCCTGTTTTGCAAATAAAAGAAAAGGAGCCAACGGTATCGGCATTTATGCGTATGAATATATTTTACACGGACAATTGAATATTGTCAAATAATTAAATCGTTAAATAATTCTGCGGCCCGCTTGAAAAATAAAAATAAAGCAACTGATGACGGTATCGCTTTTGTACATAAGAATATCTCTTATTCAGATGACTGAACATCAAAAGAGCATCATTCAGTATTTTAAATCTCGTATGTAATACAGGCTATCGGTCAAGTAATTCCCTGATTGTTTCGAGCAATGTATTTTATTCAACGTCACAAATACACATAAGCAAGAATCTATTTGCAATTCGCATTGACTCGAACGATATTTTTTAGTCCCACATCCGTCATGCAGAATTTTGTTTCTCTTTTCATTTTGACTCACCGAAACGACTTGCAGTCAGAGCCGGCCACGTTCCGCTTCAACTCTGTAACAAAAAGTTCACATTTGCTCATCAGATTTGACCAACGAGTGCGGGCGAGTAAAAGAGTAGTTTACCCTCTGCGATCGTAATTCAAGTCGAGCCGGAAATTATATCCCAGCTCTAGATCGCCAAGGGTCAAACAGAGGACTATAGGAAACTTGTAAACTTACCTTCAAGCCGACTCTGCTTCGCCCGAACCGGATCCTCCGGTGCGGCATCCGCGTCCACCGGATTGCTGTTGCTTTCCGCAACAACTGAAACAGAAAAATAATTTTCCCTGTTGATAACCTGTGGTAGAGAGAGAATATCTTTGATCGGGACCAATCGAAAATACGGATATATTTTGATACGGAATTTTTATCTTTATATTTTTGTTCCAACATTGAAAATTTAAATGGGACTTGAAGCTTTCAAGAGAGCTGATGAGGAACAAGTTACAAAGGCAAAGATCGTAAAAAGTTGAACAGATGTGTAGGAAACTTGTAAACTTTACCTTCCGGCCGACCCTGCTTTGCCCGAACCGGATCCTCCGGTGCGGCATCCGCGTCTGCCGGACTTGCTTCCTGCAACGTCTGGAACAAAAATTTAGCGTTCTTGGTTGGTAAGCTGCGGTAAAGAAAGAATGTTTGGTCGGGATGAGTGGAGAATATTCACTACGATTTTTTTTCTTCATTGACATTGAATGTCTAGATAGGAGCTCTTGAAGGAACTGACGAAAAAAAATGACAACAAGAAGCGGAGACAACAGTTATGTACTCTCGAAAATACTCTTTTATGAATGGACATTTAAATTTAGATCCTGTAACGAGAGTAAACAGACTTGAAAGAAGTGCTGACCGAAAACAAAAAAGGTCGCAGTCTAAGAGGCGGTATGACGTTGAATATTCTACACAAGACCGGTATACTCACACATTTGAGAATTATTCAGAATGTTTGATTGAGAACATGATGAATTAGAGATCCGCGTTCATGGACCGTTATCCGTCTCTGTCTGGATCAATATCTCTTGTATACAACAACGTAATAAATAATTAGACAGACAGAGATTGACGAGAGTAATTGCAGATTCATAAAGTCATGATTACTAGTCGGATGATGACGGATTGTGAATGCCGAGCGCGAAATTCCGACTTCTTATTCCCGGAAAATTCGTCAAACGTCCGCTCTCGTTATCGGAGACCTCCCGCACAATAAATGATTCCACATACCTGGAAACGTGACATATTGCTGCCGGCGTCCTGCTTTCCGGCTGCTGGAGTCCTTCGGATTTCACTCGCTCACGCTTCTAATGTCGGTACTCGCGATTCGACCGTGTGGTTAATCAACGCGATGCCGATTGAGTACCTCGAGGACCGACGAGATACATTTCTTTCAATTACACGAGACGGAAGTGACGAGCGCATCGCGCACGGCTGCTGTTGATGGAATGAGATCGAATACACGAGGTGCG